AATTTCCCGCTCTTTTGGTGTTAAACCTCCCTGGATTTTGAAAGACTGCTCTTTTGACATCTCACTGTCTATGCACAAGAAAGAAGATACTCCAAATTACGTCTTCAGGAATCTAATAGCTGAGAAAACCCAAGTATTGGACAATACTGGTTGGAATCTTTTGTACACAGACGGCTCAAAACCTCCTGGTCTGCCTTCTGCTTGTGCGGTGGTAGATGCTACAGGACGGGTTCTTCTCAACCACATATTTCACGAAAGCACTTCAACTTTCATAACAGAAGCCAGAGCTATCCTTCACGCTGCAAACCTTGCCCATAAAAACAAACTCAAAACCGTCATTGTTACTGACAGTTTGTCTGTATTACTCGCTACCCGGAACCCTTCGACTTCGAGATGGAGCACCATCAACAAATTAAGGAATATAATTACTACACCCGACGAAAAAAATTAAAATGTTATGGGTACCAAGTCACATCGGTTTACTGGGAAATGAGCAGGCTGATCGAGCGGCAAAGTATGCTGCTTCTGCTCCTCTAATTATGGATGACGTCATGGAAAAGTTGGATCTTCAAAGATACATTGGAAGAAAAGTTAAAGAGAAAATTGCAGAAGGAAATTTACAATACCATCATTAACACTACTCTTGCATTAACTCTCAATTAACTCCTCCTCTATATCCAACAAATGTTGAGAAAACCAAGATCCAAACATTCTCGAGAATTCGCCTTGGTCGTACAATCGCAACTCACCAATGGATCCTGAAGAAGTCTTCTCCCCCAATCTGCTGTTGTGGACAAACTCTTACTATAAAGCACATTCTCTGCGACTGCCTCAACTTTTCCTTGGCTAGAAGTATTGCATTTGAAACGATTAACCCTTTGAACATTCTACAATCAACTTCAGAACAGAATATCAATTCAATATTTTACTTTATTAATACTACTAAGCTTATTATCTGATATCCATTTATTTAAATTAGAGCCGATAGCCTGTGTTGCTAGTGCTCAATGTCTCTTTTTTTAATCTAAGAATTCAATTCATCAGTCTAAAATTAAAATAATAATAAATGAGACTATTGACTCGTCTGGATTACTTGGTGAGATAAGCTTCAATGTCCCTAACCGCCTCTCTAGGCATCTTGATTAAGCTTAGTCGATGTAAATGCAATTATGAGCTGTTTAACTCGCTTAGAGTTGTTTGCAGAAACCCAAATGTTGTGTATCACTTATTCTCATTAGCGAAATCTTTAAAACCTGTTAAAGCAACTTTGCTTAATATGCGCGATTTACCTATATCGTGTTTCAAGTAATCTTCCATTCTTAATATTTCATTTTTTATTTAATATAATATTGTTACGGAAATCTCAAATCTAGTTGATTCCAGCTAAGGCATTTCCTAAAATAATAAATTCCTTAAATAGAAAAGAATTCAAATGTACATTTGCGAGGCGTCATGCAGCTGCAGACCGAAGAAAGTGATTAGCGGAAAAGCAGACAGGTAAAAGCAAAGTGCATATTCGCCGGCGCGTCGTGCAGCTGCAGGCCGATGAAAACGGCTATCAACAAAAGCAGGTTAACGAATTAAGAATCAAGTCATAAAATTAGGTACTAGTAATATGATGGCAAAGATGTATATAAATAGAATATTTGTCAAAGACAGTAGAGTAGAAAAAGAATATTTGAGTTAAGCAGTCGAAAGTATCGCCAAAAATAAATTGTAAATAATCCTACATTTAAAGAACTATCATTGTAAATAAAAGAAATTTGAAGTGTATTTCTCTTGAACAAAATGGTTTAGGGTTTCTGTTGCAACCTGGATCTGTTCTTATTGCTGGTGTGCTTCTGTGCTAGATGTGTACATGCTCTTTTTCTTCTTTTTCTTCTCTCTTTTTACCTGTTTATACATGCATTGTTGTTTTTAACTTTTTAATTTATTTTTAAACGTACTTTGGTATTATTCTTCTTCTTTTTTCTTCCTTTTTATTTTATGCTAGCTTTAAGGTAATTAGTATAAGGTTTTCTATTAAGATGCACTGAATTCGACTGTAATTTTCTTTAGTTGAATTCCATGTATAAATAGGTAAATAAAAAAATAAATAAATAAAGCTTTTTAATGCCCTTACGTCCAAGTTGAGCAAACGATATAAATCGTCGGCGAATGTTGAGGACCCATCTAGCAATGCCGAGTTAATTGTACCTACAAGATATATATGAAACAACTTATTTTCTAGCTACTGATCTACTACATTCTTTTAATCTTTGATTTCTACGTCACGTTACATCCGCCCTGAAGAATTCAACCCGCGATATTTCAGTCGCCTGGATGCGTTTACCGATGATTGCTTCTACCATATGTTGATGCATAACCGTATAGAGCACTTGATAAGTTTCGTGGAATACGATGTGCACCTGTTCTGTTGGAAAGTCCTGTTTTAAGTACTTGCTGTTGAGGTTGAAGATCAAATTGTCTCTCTTGTTCTTAACAATTTTCGACTGCTCAACTCTTCGCAGATGTCGTCTTCATCACTTAGACATGTTTGGCATGGTAGTTGTTCACGGATGTAGCGCGCGATTCCTTATTCTGTGAGCAGCCGTGGTTAGCTTTCCTCTGTATTGTTCAGATAGAGAAAACTTTCCAAAAGATTTTGGCTTACCCTGTACTGCGCTTTTGGTAAGCCTCCGCTAGCTCGACAAAATTCTTGATCATATCTCGAGTGTCGATCACTACGAGTACTGTCTTCAAAAGGTTTTCCAAGAACTTGCTGCTAAGTTGACTTTGAGCTTTGTCAATGTCTCGGCGGTTATGAAGTAACCGGTGCACAACGTTTGCGAATTGGGTAAACATTGCGCTTAGGCTGCGAGTGCTTTGCGCCGAAAATAAATTGATTACAATGCTATATGAAAATAAATATAACTGCCTAGGATTTACATTTTTTTCGCAGCAACTTTAATTTTTGTTGTAATTATTACCTTTGCAAATATTACTGATTACTCTTAATTTATAAAAACGAACGCTTATTTCTAATGTATATATGTGAATTTTATTTAGACGATATGTACTTATATATACATATGTATGCATGTATATATACATTCTTTTCATTCTCTGCAATCTGTCAACTTTCCCCTATATTCATCATCAACACATTTTAAATAAGTTGATAAGAAGCTTCTGAACAAATTGATAAAACAAGTTATGTCACATTAAAAAAAAAAAAGGGCAAATAAGTACAAGAAAGACAGAAGTGAAAGAAAGGTTAAAGTGAAAGCTTATGAAAACAACAGTAAGACAATTGTCACCTTTCCGGGAAAGGAAGTCCCTTTTTAGGACCTCTTAGGAACCAGCGGTGATCTTCCCACTTCTGTACATATTTTTACTAGCGTATGCCGGCATACCCTTTCGTCAATCCTTTCTGACCGCCACCTTGCTTACATATATGCGGGCCATTCCCTCATCAAATATAAAAACATAAAAAACGCTAAAAAAGGAATTTTCGAACAAATATGCAATAATGTGCATTACAGCTCTTACACAATATTTTTTCCTTTAATTTAAAAAAAAAGTTCTTGTCTTATTTTCAGCTCCATTTTATAACAATTTCTTCTTTCACTTTATTTTGTCAGCGAGAAAATTGGTTAGATATTTAGTGCATTAGGAAGACAATGAGATTTTTATAAAGTAGTATTTTAACGGATAACTTTAGAATCCTCTCCTTTTTTTCTAAAAACTCAAAATAAGCATACACAAAATATTTTTCAAAGAGCCGCTATTGTTATTGGCAAAGCTGGATTCCCGATTCGAAAATAGTCGTTGAGGTTGTACCAGCGATATAGCAAATTTAGTAAACTCCAGATAATTGATATAACGAAATCATCAACATGATTTGGAAAAAAAGACTCTCCTTTCCTTACGATACATAAATAGATAACATTGGTAATAGATTCCCCTGGAAAAAGACAAATTTATTATAATCTCAATTTATCTATGTTGTGGTCTAAAAAAGAGATCTATGTGACTTAAATTTTCTATGGTTTAATTACTACAAAAAAGGACAAATTTCATCATCTTGAAATATTGAAAATGGGGTCCTTTTGGCATAGCAAGCCTTCTATTTCATTAGAACCCCTATGGGGCTTGGGATTCAAAAAAATAGGCCAACGTGATCAAAATTCGGTTGTATTAATTTTTATATCAAATTTTTATTATGAACGAATTTTCATCAAGAAACATTGAAAATTGGGTTTTTTTTACCATATAAAGAATTGATTTCCATGGGAACGGTGATATGTCAAGAGGTTACAAAAATTGCCCCATGCGATCCACAGTTTTCACATCAATTTAGAATGTCAACACTACTGTTCAGCGACTTTTGTCGAGTAATTTTAAAAGTTGCGATATTTTTTCTTACAATGACTTATCAAAAAAAGGCGTTATATTGCAATTGGATTAAAAAGTGGTCTAATGCGAACCGATGATTTTCATTAGGATTCGTCCTTTGACCAAAACACGTCAGTATACCAAATCGAGAAATACGACTGGTAGGCTGAACACAAAAATACGTTGACAGACATTAGACAGACAGGCGGATAGACAAGATTAGACATGATTTGAATTGATCGGTATAATAGAAGGAAGGCTTTTCTGGGTACTACATACGCCTGCACAAACGTACCGCAAGCGGTGCAGTGTACAGATAGCGTAATTTCAGAATTTCGCGGCAAACTGGGTGTACGTTGTTCAATACATTTTTAAATATATTTATTGCCGATCAATTTTCATAGCAGTTTATGTTGAAAACATGACAATTCGTCAATATTTATCAAATGGTGAATAGCAAAGTATCATAAATTATGCTAATATAATTTTTATTTATTTATTTATTTTTTGATCATTACTTCTTTATTATCGTTTCATTCTATGGGCACATAACGCTATTTTTACAAAGTATTGAAATTGTTTCGAAATTTAATAAGGACTAGAATAATATGTTCTAGGATATTTTGATATCTTGGACATGTAAATGATGTCTAAACAAATAATTAAAAAACAAACCAAATGCAGACAATTTAAAATTTATGAGAATGAAATACAATTGACATACAATAACAACATATATATATTCGTATACGTATATGTTTATATGCAATAAAATAGCAAGGAATTTTTCTTTGGATGGAAATTCTGGATTGTCATTAAAGGATTTACGTAACAATAATTACCGCTCACTTATTTATATTTGTTTGAAAATATTTGAATCAATCTTGTTTTCTTGTTTTATGAATTCTACCAAAAAAAAAATAAAAATTTTGCATCGTATTATTCAATAATATTAATTGCCATCATGTCCTATGATCTCGATATCATCAGCCAATGGACTTTCAATATCAGTTTTGTTCGCATGTTTATCGCTTATGCTATCCAAATTAATTAGAGATAAAGTCATTTTGCTACTAAGCACAACCTAAAAATAGTAAATAGAAGAAAAAAACATATATATATATATATATATTTTTTTTTTTTTTTTATATAGCAATTAGCATATTCTTTGTCTTTTCAATTTACAGCTGGTTCATCGGCAGATCCATTCAGTTCAGCATCATAAACTTTTTCCTGTTTAATTTCGGAATCTGCCACCAAGATTTGAGATTCATGCGCCAATATTCCCTCCAGATATATAGATTGTGGTTCTGGTATATAATCATCAAAGGGTTTGGACTGGAAAAAAAGGTAATGAGTAAAATTTTTTGAATTGTTTTGTTGTTTCTTTTTTAATTCTATTGATTTTATTTTACTTTTAATGCCATACATTACTTCTGGTACAACAGTATATTAAATTTGTAAGCATATATGCTACATCTGGGCGATCTTGAAATAGAGCCACCTTTCATTACACCAGTCGATTCAGAATCACTATCTTATTTAAGCTTGTCCGTGCGTCTTATTTTCTTGGATATAACCTGCACGTCGTAATTTTTGAAATATTTTGATGAATTTTAGCACACCGATACGGTTCGGTTTAGGGGCGAGCCGTATTAAAAATGGTTCAGACTCAGGAACACTTTTTCGACCTCTATACATATAAAGCCTTATTTTAAAAAGGCGTTATATGAATTATATATGTATTAAGTGAGAAGGCTTGGGTTATTTACTATAGTGTTTTTGCTTGTTTATTAGTAATAATATAAATTTCTAAACATAATAGTGGATAGTAAAAAAGTAAAATGGAAAAAAATATTCGATTATAAGAAAGTGCAAATTTCTCGATCGTACGTCGTAACATATGTAGTCAAGCCTTTACATAACTCAGAAGCAAACTTAAAAACACTGTCCAAATTAAGGCAGGCTCGCCGTTATCCTATGCAAAATTGACAAAAAGGAAAAATAGAAATTTGTATACTCCACAATGTCGGGTGGGAGAGGTTGATTTTTCTATTTTTCTAAAATAATTTTGCGTGCTTGCGTCGTTTTCAAACTCTTTAATAGGCACAATATCTTCATTTTTGCGAAGGAGAGAATGTGTACCAAAGATACTGCACAGTTTGCCGGCCGACAAATGGGCAGATAAACGGATGAATATTCTTAGGTGCTTTTCCGTCCAAAATTGCCCAAGCATTTATATACTTTGCAGAGTTCTTGAAGCTCGTTTTTGCGCATTAGTATTGAAAAAAAAATTAAATTTTAACACACTACGATATGGAATAGGCGTGATCAGTTTTGCCCATTTTTGTGTTCTAACTTTACGGGATGCTACAAACGTGTCCCTCTACCGATTTAGCCCCTTTTTAATACCAACCTGTATGGGAGAACTTTCCATGTTTTTGCCAAATTTCAAATCGACGGCTTCAATTTTGCGGTCGGGAGATTGTTTACAACAGGCGGACACACCCACGTTTTTAAGTCCATGGATCAAAATATGATGCTGATCAAGAATACATACACTTTGTGGGGTCTCTGAGGCGTCCTCCCGGACGTTGCAAAAATTTTGACGAAACGACCCCTCATCCTTCGATGAAGGGTACAATGAAATATTGATTTTTCTATGCAATAAGTCGCAATTAATTTTTAAACAGACAAATCATAGGAAGTGATTTTAATTAATTTATTCTATAATACTGTTTACGCCAAGTAAGAATCAATGTACTTTATGCGGTCTCTAATGCCTGTTTCAAGAGGAGATCAATATTTGGCATGCCACCTATGCAATGCAAATGAAAAGGTTCATATAATGTTATTTAATTATGTAACGTTTCTTATGTCATGTCTTTTATTTTTACGTATGTATTCTGATTGTATAGAGAGTGGATAAAATAATGAGTAAAATAATGCTTACATGTTCATGGTGGACTAATAATACCGGCGTTGGAGGACGACCAGACCATTTCTGTCCGCCTTCACAACTAGCCGTTATCTCCATTCCAAGAACCTTTAACAAAAAATAAAAACCAAAAAAAAAAGAAAATTAGAAGACTTTTATTTTAAATGAGTTTATATTACGAAAAACAAAAAAGATAAGAACACAAAAAGAAGAGATAAACTAAAAAATTACATTTTCTTTTCCGCCTGAGTGGTTGAGTACGCAAGAGTCGACTACCAACTCAACGGTCGTTGGTTCAAATCTCAAGTGCGGTAGAGTTTTTAATAAAGCCGAAATCCTTAGTGCTTTATAGTTAGTGCTTTAAGATTTTAGTCTTAGAATTTATTCTGTGACTAAATTTATAATAACAATAATAATACATTTTCTGAAAGAACGTTTCTCACTTTTAATATTTATGTAGTCTTAGGATAAATTTTGGAACGATGGATTTGACACGGCATTTATAAGAAACTTTTTAATTTATTTATTAGAAGAAAATAACTTAAAACTATAGTATAAATGTGCATTGTCTTCTACCGAAACCCTTTCTGTATTATATCAACATCCTGTGATACTAAGCTTTGAAATAATATAAATCAAAGTAACATGTAACGTCTTCAGGCATTTATCGTAGCTAAAACTTCCAAATATAGATATAAGCAGGATTGCAAGTTATTCTCGTTTTCATAAGAAGTAAATATAAAATTCAAGAAACGCAAAAATTGAAAATATCCCATCGCTCAATAAGTTTCTGGTCTAACTTGCTGTCTTTTTTTCGCAATTTCGTCATTGAAACGCACTTGTAATGCTATCTCATAGTCACTATTAAAGCTTTGGCCTTTTCCAAGAAAGTCAACGAATATTGTACCATGTACATTGCAAAATGTGGGCCACATAACCTTCTTAGCCGACTTTTGCGTTCTTTGTCGCTTTGGATGGTTTCAATCAATTGCCACTCGGCTGATCGCCGATTTGGCTCTACAAAGTAGTGACGACTCCATGTCACATGTCGCATGATAAAATCCTTTTTATTTCGTCTAAATGGGGCTAATGCGTCTTTGTTTTTGAAAAAACGGGGAAAACGGGAACAAACAAAATCCTCTTCGAACAGACCTTTCAAATATAAATGGTAAATGTTCATGCAAGATAATGGAGGGTATTGCTTTTTGTTATCTTTAGGGCCACCTCTGGTAACATGACTTTTCTATCTTCCGATATGATTTTGAGAATTTTTTTTTTTTTGTGTTTTTTGGAACAACTATCGAATTTGAACGGCCAGAGCGATCAGCACGGTCGGCGTTTCTACATTTGTTTAAAATTAACAAACCATCTACAACATTTTTTTTGGGTTGTCAAGAGTCGCTATAACATACTTCAGTTCAATACTGGTTATTTTTTCTCAACAAAAATTTACGTTCAAGCGAAAAAAAGAATTCGGAATTCTAAATTGTTTCGAAAGTAGCAAAAGTACAGTCAATAAAGCTATTGTAATCTGTAAACTAAATGTAAGACTAATTGCAAATTCTGATATGTGCCGTTTGAAGATTAGTAATAACCAAAAATCATTTGCTTTTGTCAGTAGTGACGCCGTATATGTTAGAGATCGTAGACTTGTTGACTGAGATTTCAATCGAAAACTAATAATGACTATCACAAAATTAATTTTCGTGAAAAATGATACTCCTTTACTTAATTTTTTGAAATCGTATAACATCAAAACTATCTTATAATTATCGAAAATTCTCTATCATGTTGTATCGAATCAGTTTTTGATAAGTAAGATGTTATAAGATGTCGCCTCTACACGCTTTGCGATGAATTTTAAAGTCAATTGATCACTCGTGGTCATGGTTGGACCAAACTTTTAGTAAAGCTAGTGTCAAATTTTTATGTTAAACTTTTAATAAGCAAATTTGAAGTGAATCTCCACTTTGTCGTACAATACTTCATTTTTATAACTAATTCTAATGCTAAAACTTGTGTCCGCAGAGAATATCGGAAGCGAAATTCCTTCGGGATTGATTTACGAAATTATTTTTTGAAGAAGTTTCGTTCTCCAATGTGCTCTCTCACTCTCCTGCGCAAGCTTTAAACAATTTCAAATTAGAAGTTGAAGTGAGCAGAGGTGGCACTTAACCTCAACTTTGATGAGTTGTTATTTGTAAACCATAATGCGTTTAACCAGTTATTCGTCTTATAGTGTTATAGTGATTAAGATTGCAACCATTATGAAATTCGCCCAATTTTTAGTGTGAATTTCCGCATTTGAAGAATGGTGGCGAATCTGAATTAATTTTAATAAATTACATAATAAGAATAACAAGACTTACGGCTATTGTACGTTCATTGCTGCCTTCACGTAATTTGTTGTTATTACTAATTGCCAGATGATCGTGTTTAGTTTTGTCTGCATTGATTCCAGAGGTTTCAACAACATTTGCATGCCCATTGGAAATGTTTTCTTTGTTCGTTGTCGTCTTTTCGTGGGTTTTCTTTATAACAAGAAATGAAAACATTAGAAAACATATTTATATAAATTGATAATTTTCCATTGTCAATTGTAAAGAAAAAAACAAGAACTTCAAAACAAATTGTATTAACCGAATAATAACATTTAAAGCAAAATTGAGAAACCCTTATAAAAAAAAAAATTATTAATAAATATATTTTTAAATAAATAGAAAATAACTAATTCGAGTTTTTTTTCTTTTTAATTTTTTGATTTAGAAAAGCATATTTAAAAGTTTTCCATTCAATAAAACATTACATATACAGGCAATGCAAAGACGATCAATAGAGTAGTAGGGTGGCATGTTTTAATTATTGTGAACATTATATGAACTAAGCTAACCTTGATTGAATCACTAGTGGAAGTCTCTCGTAATTTTAATTCTTCGTCAGCAGCATCAATTAAACCTTGTATGGCTGCTACAACTTTTCAATGAATTTTTTTTTTTTTTCGAAAATAAAAATAATTTTTTTTAATTTTTTGTTTTTTTTTGTTTTAATATATTCCATGAAAAGCAAACTATTTTAATACTAAATTTGTTGGATTGTAAACAATTAATTCAATTAATTTAGTAAGTATATGTATATATATATTTTGTGTTCCTAAAAACGTTTATTCTCTGAACAGTGTAATAGATAAATGAAACAAAAATATTTTAATGGGAAAACTCATTTTTAAACTATGTCCTCTTATCGCAAACAGAAAAAAAAACAAAAAAAAGGTATTAATATACTGCCTAAAATTTTAAAAATCGATGTATTAAAAGTTTATTGCGATTTTTCAGATTAGTATTGAAATTACTTAAAATACTTTCATGCCGGTAGGATCATTTAAAAATTAGTTGATTTACGAGAGAATCGTTAGAAATTTTCACATTTTTATCGCATATTAATATGCGCAACATGCTAAGGATTTTTTCATCGAATCTGTAAGTTTTCATTCTTTAATAGATTATATTAAGTTTATTTTTTTTTTTTTTTGTTTTTAGTTGCCACATTTATAAAGATGTTATGTACTTGGTTGTAATGTAAGTTATCAATCGTTTAGATGGTCTCGAATTTATAACTGATGGCGTTTGTTTTTTTTTTAATGGATTGCTTGTTGACGTTTTATAAAATTTATGGCGATCATCTTGAAAAATGAGAATTAATAAAATATGTTAATAATAACAAGAAAAGAAAAATAATAATTTAGTCTACAATTCATTTAATATGATATGATAACTAAAAGATGTGCAAGTGCTATGTTTACATAACTAATAAAGAACATTCCATTATAAGAAATAAAAACAGAATTTTAGCTTAGATCTATTCAGAAAGTGGTTCCGAATAAGTCGGTATAGTAAAAGGTTGATCTATCTCAACTCACGCTAAATGTTGCATACATCCGCACAAACTTAACTTATTCTTGCAAGAGGTGAATAATTATTACAAAGTTTTTTGAAATTTTGTCTCAAAAATGGAATTAATTGCAGCTAATCATTGAAAAGGAACGTCTTTAATAAGCTATAAAACCATTTCGTGACTATCATAAAAAGTGAAATAGCTTCAGCGAGAAACAAGGAAATTTAGAAGATAATAAGGGAGTTTGGTCGTTTTCTAATGAAAATCTAAGTAAAATTAAAAAACTTATGTTTCATTACCGAAAGATCGCCGAGTAATGAGTGCTTTGTGAAAGTATGAAATTTAGATATATCATGTGATATTTGAAACCATATTGCGGGGATCAACTCGTAGAAAACAAAAGAGCTTCGAGAAAAGACAAGAAGGTGTTGAACATAACAGGATGATAGGACAGGCCTAGTCATACTGGAATGTTGGTCTCCAATTAAAAAGGGGAAAAGTTTAGAGAAATTGCGCTTCATAACAGAAAGATCGCCATAGATGGGTGCTATTCGGCTTATCTTAATTTTTTATACAGGTGACGTCCACTTTCATATTTAATTATGACAGACAAATGTGCGTTCGCACTTAGTATGAAAAATATTTTTCAAATTTCTTTATAGTAGCAACTCATTTTTTTTTTTTTTATTTTATATGATCAACTGCTGAAGGGACATACCCTGCTCGTGTAAAACCACGGTTAGACAGAAGTGAGGAAAGAGAAGCAGATAGCGAGGCGGCGACTGCAGTCTCTAGTGGATGCGCTCCCAAATGTTATGTCTTTGCCGCTTACGTCGCGCCTTACGTGATAGTTTCTTCCAAAGTTTCAAATTACTATATTATTTCGAAACCAATTTAACATCATTTTGAGCACAAATGCCCGCTTTTGATTCCAGGGATTTTTAATAAACAAAAACATCGCGTAATCTCATATTCGCTAGCCGAATTTTTATTTAAATCATATTTATAACCATAAAGGTGAAAATTCCCTAACATTCATGCCTCATGATAAACCGTTAGATTTAAAGTGAATCAGCATTACAAGTCCCTGATAAGCGTTCGGAACGACGCGCCGAAAACGATATTTAGTACGAGGGGCGATTAATCAAAAATCCCTACGCTAAAATACAAATTATATTGCTTCTCTATTATTTTTCAATAAATAAACGGTTTCCTCGTCTTTCTTTTCATCCGTGGAAATAGAAGTAGGGAGATAGAAAGTGAAATAGCGAGCGAAAAATCTATATGGATTGAGCGACGATCACTTTACAGTTACAGCGAGATGAGGGAATTAGTAAATCGCAAAACTATTGGCGAATGGTATTCGTTATAGTTTAGCAGATCACGAAAAGTACTTGTTCAAAGAGATGGTCTGGAGAATAATCAGTAATAGCAAGAGAAGCTGCCAGCTTAAATTAATGATCACTGTCTAGATTCTTTTTCTCCCGGAAGAACGGACGTATAAAAATGTTTATCATTTTCAAGAAGAAAGTTTTTTGCACTATATCTCGTTAAACATTTTCCCACTATTTCATAGCTTATGGCATTTCGACTCCAAGCTAATTTAATAATTTCCGTAGCTTTAGCTGCACTTTCTTCCAGATTAAGTTTAAAACGCAATGCGCTAAATAACATCCATCTCTTCACACTTTGATATTCACTGAACCACAGTTTGTAAGCAACTAAAACTTGCGCCGTAATGCCTCATATGCGTTGGATGAAGCAGCCGACTTCAATTGACAGAACTTATTTCTACACTTAATGTAACACTACATTCAAAAATCGAATATTCAACATTCGAATATCGGATATATTTTTTTTTAAATTGGTAGCACTGTGAGAACCATCTGTGGCAAATTTAACAAAAAGCATTTTTTTCCTATTTCTACATAATGTCTGATTTTGCTGAGTTAAAAACTTTCATTAAATTTTGGATGCAAAACGAAACGTGTTGTATAGAAACGTTTACAATTTTGGAGAGGGCCTGTGCGGAACAGACTTGGTCGGAAATATTTGAGGACTATTCTACAACGCCTTTTAACAGTGTTATAGTATCACCTGAGAGTAAATTAAGAAATTTGGAACGGAGCCACTTACTTATATTACTGGAGAAACCGCAACGTTGCTATAGCCGTAGAATTAAAGAAAAGGCGAAATCAAATTTGGAGGAAAAATTCAAGGCCGCTATTGAGGACAATGTGAGTACATGCTCATCTTCATTATTGCAACGCAAAGCATCTTCTCAATGTTTGCAATCAATTCGATGACACTTTAATTGACGAACACATCCTAAATTTGTATTCCAAAAAGTCATACGATTCCACATCAGAAAGTAAGTGTTTTTTTATAGGCCCTTTTTTTAACAACTCTAACCTTGTACATTCTTGTTTGGAAAAGCTTCAGATCGAGGTTACGACGATATCGAGAAAGAGGACACGTACAACGTAAGTGAAAATAAGTTGTTTTTAAAATCTGTGAAGAGACAATGCTTAAATTAATCCAAAATTTTTTAGCTTTAGTGTAATCTAATCAGTGAGAATCTGGGATAAGTAAAAATTATCACTGGGATGAAGACTTTTTTGCTTCCATAAGCACTCAAGAAATATTAGATCAAAACGTGAAGGTCAATAATAAATTTCCCAGTATATCTAAGTTCCCAGTAAATAAGCAGATAACCCATTCGACTTTAAATGTTCCAATGATAACTCGTAAAAATCGCTTGTTGTCATTAAATCAACAAAAAAAGAACAAACACCGAGCAATCAGCCAAAAGGACTGTATACTCGAAAAACGGCTCGAAAACATTTTTTATCGTTATCCAAGAAGCCTAGCAAAGAAATTAACCTAATGTCGCGAGATCATTCCACATTTCAAAGACAGGAATCTGTGTATATTCCTAATAATTTAAGGTCACCCAACAAACTCTGTGAGATACCCAGTAGAAATTCATTGCAAACCGAGACTAATTAATTATATTATTAGGCTAAACGAGAAGCCGTTTTTGATTTAAAAAGCGAAGTGCCTGTCTCTTTCAGCGCAATGTATTAAAATAATTATACAATAAATTAAAAATATCCTTTTTTAAGAAGCAGGAGATTTGATTAAAATAAAAACTTTTTAACTTAACAGTAAAAGTTTTTTATTCGTGAGGGATACGTTCTATAAAAATGCCGCGAATACAGAAACCGTGAATACGGAATGGTAGTTTATATGGGATTATAGGGGATACGTTCCTAGGTGACAAAATAAAAAAAGAAACGGTGAATACAGATTGGCAATTGATATGGGATTATAGGGGATAGGCGACAAAATAAAAAAAAATCAAATATATAAAAAAATCCATCTTCCACCTTCACCTCCATGCCAAGGAATTTGCCAAGAGACGCTTTTCTTTGGTTCAAAATAGAACTTAATATTTTATGATTCAAAAGTTCTGTACAAACGGTATAAAAAAAGAAAATTATAAAAATAAATGTGATCGAGCTACATAGTAGATATTAAAAATACCTAATCTGCACATTTTGCTATGTAAATTGGTAAGCATTTAGTTAACTGTCATCTTCTGAGCTTGTACTTTCGTCTTCAAACGCTGCTAAAAGGCTTGGCCGATTTCTATTCGGAGATAAATGACAGGGTCCATTGAATTTTTCTTCGAATTCCTCTACGTTTTCACCACAACATTCTTTAACATAATTACTTGCGCAACGTCCATTCGGAACGTTATCGTCCCTCTTAAAGCATTCCGGCCAAATACCAACCTTGATGTATTCCTTGATATGTTCGGCTGTTAAAATCTTACAAATCTCTGCTTTAACTTTATCGCCTTCTTCGATTGGTTCCACTAGAATGAAATCGCTTCGTTTAACCCAAACGTTTTTTCTGAATTTTGTGTTCATAGTTACTACTACAAACATTATCAAACGATAAAAAAAAGTCTTCATGTATGATATCGGCCGTTTCAGCTTCGTGGCGATTGTTATTGTATGACTAGCAATAATTCCTACTATTTGTTGGCCGTCTTTAGGATCTTGGATCATTTCCTTTATTTTATTATATTTTGCCGGCTGAGCCCGAAAATGTAATGATAATCAAAAAAAAAAAAAAGTCTTTCTTAGCACGTACGGCTTACACCAAACATCCCTGCTATTGCATACATGATTACGAAATTGAACAAGAACAAGCAACCTACACCAAGAATGAGAACAAGAACAAACATCCTACACCGAGAATGAGAACAAGAACAAGCAACCTACACCAAGAAAATGAACAAGAACAAGCAACCTACACCAAGAAAATGAACAAGAACAAGCATCCTACACCCAGAAAATGAACAAGCATCCTACACCAAGAAAATGAACAAGAACAAGCATCCTGCACCAAGAAAATGAACAAGAACAAGTATCTTACACCAAGAAAATGAATAGGAACAAGCATCCTGCACCAAAAATGAACAAGAACAAGCACCCTGCACCCTACACCAAGAAAATGAGCAAGAACAAGTTTCGATGATTGGAAGCAACGTTGGCATAAGTGTATGGTGTCCGAGGAAGATTAGTTTGAAGGCGACAAAATAGATTCGAAATAATAAATGGATTTAAATGGTTAAATGGAACTGCTCTTATTTTTCGAACGCAGCAATATATTAAGAGCAGTATATTAATACGGTTATAGTATTTACATAATCATGTGATATATATTTGTTATAACAATTCATTTAATAAGTTGATAACACATAGATGCCGAATGCTTATTGACGAATACTCTTGATTTTTAGCTAGTTCCCACCTTCAAACGAGAAGTATCAAAACTTCATGACATTCCGATCATTAGTTTAAAAGTTTACAAATCTCTTTTTGCTAGCTTTGTTTTTGCAGAATAATGGAAAAATGGGAAATTTCCTTTTTAAGCGTCACTAAAACAGCTGCAACTTGTATACTAATGTTCGAAATGTCATAAAATTTTGCAACATTTCGATTGAAGGTTGTTTAAAAATCATAAGGATTAGTCAGTAGTCATCTTAAATCTTTGCATCGACCCATGAACTTATTGAGTCATGATATATATACTATGTAGTAGCTATGTACTATGTTTCTGTAACATGCCTCAATTTTTCGGAGGTGGATAAAGGGTTAATTGGCCATCTCTGCCGTCTATCACAGAGTTAGAATCAATCAATCTAAAGTCTTTTTAATAGCCTTGCTATGGAAGAAAAATGTTCGATTGTTAAATCTGATAAAGATCTGCCCGATTTGCTCAATAATTAATAAATGGCATAACTAAGAAATTGAGAAATTGTTCTTCTAGAATATGAATTTCAAAACTTTTAAATAATTTTTTTACAATCATTTCTATAAAAAAAGAAAAATCGTTTTAACGCAATGTAGAAAAAAGAAAACAATCAAAAGTAAACCTCAGGTTTTCCTCATCGTTTTGAAATAAAATGAAACCTTAAATGAATAAAATTAAACAAAAAAAAAAAAAACAAAAAAATACAATGTAATTAAGAGCCTTTTGCTAATTCTAACCTTCGCTTCATATTGGTCGGAGTTCATTTCGGCAATTAATTTGGCCATTGCCTTTTCGGTGTCCTCCAATTTCCTGCGTAACTTTTCAATTTCCATTAATTGTTCAGTTTCTTTATTTAAGAGCCTCGCTGTTATATATATTTGTTGTTGTTGTTGCTGAGGTAAAGCACTATGTCGCAGTTGTTGTGGCTGCTGCTGTTGCTGTTGTTTTAACGAAGCTGATAAATTAGAGGCGACATTAGCTGCTGAAAGGCTGGCATTATATAGTTCATTACCGTTCCGTTGAGACTCTGGTTGTTTATGCAGATTAGTTCCTAAAATTGTTTATTTCGCATTTTGGTATTGAATGGATTTTTTTTTTGTTTTTGAGTTTTTGCTTTTTATTATTATTATTGCCATTATTATATAGTTTCTATTGTTAATCAACATTTAAAATGAGGTGAAAATAAATAAAAAATGTTGAGTTTTTAATTTAAGACAACAACAATAACAAAGCATACATACTTATATGATGGAGAGTATCTATCTAGTATATATATATATATACATATGTGTGTGTGAATAGGTGGGTGTGGAATAGCGTGATGTGCGTGTTGGTGCATTTGTGTGCACACATATATAGTTTACATAAAATACTCAAAGCAGCAATTGAGTGCAAGTGAAAATATGCAACCCAACAACAAATAAACGAGAAGAGAAACACAAAAAAGGAACAAGAATAAGAAATTATTGATAATTCACTAACAGAAAATGGGAGGACATATTTTAAAAATGATTTCCAGACGAAACAATGAAAAAACATTTAAAATGATCTTCAAATGACACTGGCATTATTCTGCTGTATGTTGAAGAAAGCGCAAATGCTTACTTGTTTGATGCTCACGCCATCCTTATGTAGCGAAACCGACCAGGAGGATTTGCACGTTTGTGTGTGTGTAAGCATAAGGGAATTAGGGAATTTACATATATTTACATATCCTTTATTTTTAAACTCTATATAAGCTGTTATCGAATTTCGCTTAATGATTTTGATATGATTTTTAATGCAACTCAATGAGACGCTAAAATTAAAGTAAAAAAATACGTTTCATACGTTCGCTGAAAACTTACCCAATTTTGAGCTATTAAGATCCTCAAGATGCCTACCGTTTTCATAGCCGAAAACTTGTTTGCGGAAATTCGGATCCGATGGTGCCGGACCATACGGTGCATTCGGCATAGGCTTCTTGAAAACTATCTGTAATTAAATGCATTTCAAATTAAAATAAAACCATGCATGCAAGCAAACATTGATAATTTCAATTACAATTACCTTCATGATAGTGTAACCGAAGAATACAACAATACCTATTGTATAAAGAGGCATTATAATGCCCATGCTACTGCCTTTAGTTTGAGGTTGATGCATGGCACCAGCCCCTAATGGAGGCCGCATGCCAGGTATGGGACCAGGCTGAAATAAAATATTTTGCAAACTTAACGAATAGTGAAAATTTATTTTCTTTTTAAATATATCTTATCAAATAGGATTACGATCGGTTATAAGGGATCTTGGTTAACTGTCATTCAATCTCATAATCAACACCGAAGGTTGAAAGCACAGTAATTTAGAAAAATCACATGAATTTCGGAGACTTTGAGTCATTATTTAGCCTCGGTCCATAAGCATGTTGTATTAGAGTCCTCCCAACCGTAATAATTAAGATTGAAAACTGAAAATGAGCTCAATTGCACAGATCAATGTTAAAAACAAATTCAATCTGCTTGCACAAACGTAATATTTTAACAGCTAGTACTAGACAAGTGAGAACATTAAATATCCTACACGACTTCGCTTAGTAGAGCTATTCACTCGATGTGGAAAAAAATTACATACTGTTTTCATGCAAAGGCGTACATGAAAGCCCGCATATGGTAGGATTCCAAATCCATATTGTAGCGTGATTCAAATTTAATAAACATAAATTATTTCCTAAAAATTTTAATATTTTCCAGTTTCCGTTACAAAGCACTAAAAAAATGGACTTTCTCTCCACGTAAGGGCATGGATTTCATGGAACCCCTATATATGTTAGGATGTAAAAAATAGACCTATGTGATCCAAATTCCCTACCATTTGATTATTTTGCTACCATGGACCAATTTTCACCGTAAAATATTAAAAATTAAACCTTTTCCTGAAGGTATTACTTACTATTTATATTACTATTTATTACTATTCATGACTCATTGCACATGGAATAGAGTCCAAGAAATATTCGCACGTGGTTCAAATTTGGTCCACATTCATCATAAAATAGTGACACGTAAGCCTTTTTATCAAATGCAGTTTTAAAATTCTTCTGAATCCTTATATGCGATGGCATCGAAAAAATAGATCTACATGGTCCAAATTCGGTAAGATCGATTTTTCTATCAATGTGTTATTACGAACCAATTTTCATCATAAAGTATTGAAAATTACATCTTTTTTCATAGGAAACGGAATTCAAAAAATTGCTCCAGCCGCACTTAATTTTTCATACTAATTTACAATATTAAAGTACTAGTAATTAACGAGTTTTATCGAAAAATTTTGAAAATTATAATTATTTTATAGTAGTGACCGAAACGGTGGGCCGATTCGAAATATTTTCAATGTCAAGTTATCAAATTTCAGAAAAATATCTCAAAATTCGTGACTTGAACACAAAAATATTTCAGGAACGACAGATAGAAAATGATTCTGAATCGATCGGGGTAATAAAGAGTGCATCTATCTTAAGATCTTTTGGGTGTTACACACGTCCGCGTAAACTGAAAGTAACTTGTGTAGTAGATAAAAAGTCGTATTACGCGCCTATTTACCTTCGAATGCTTAAGGGAACTCGTAGCAGCAAGTAAATCTACGTTTTAGCCATGATTTGAAATTTGAATGAAAATGTGTTAGTCTCTTTTTACGCAATAACCTGTCTCATTCAGTTGGATGCTTCCAGCCTTAACTTTCATTATTTCTTCAAACAATGAATCGCAAGTCTACGCAGTTGGGTTGCTACTTCAAAGCTCGCCAAAAGCCTTCACATAAAATTTTACTTTCTTATCCTAATTTTGGCGCCTTCAACGATTACAGAAAGAAATCAGGTTTGAGAAAGCACTTGGAATATCGGTTGCTAAGCCATCCCATTTTGAAAGTCTCTGCTTTCTACGCAAAGGAGAGTGTCGTTATAAAAATATTTTTATTTTCTCCCTCCGATTATTGCAAATGCCGCCGACAAATTAATGTAAACACGAATTTTTAATAGGCAAGTGTATATATACATAAACGTGTGTGTGTATGTGTCTGAAAATCGCAAACAAATTTTGTTATTTATTGGAAAATACATTGCATAGAAATGAAAGCAAATGCTAAAAATAAAAAGTCTTGGCCGTGAAAGAAGTCTTTCGTATAGAGCTAACGGGGAAAGGCGAAATTTTAAACTGGTGGGCGTTTAAGTGAACACATAAGATTTGTGTAAATTGTTCTTTTTATGCAATGACTTTTACATATAAATTAGAAAAGAAAAACTTTCTATTCCAAAGTAGCAACGTTGCAGTCAACACTTTTCAATACTGAATAAAGATCACTTGACAGATCGCAAATAATATGCATTTACATAAGCAATAGCCAACTATAAGAAAAGCAAAGACTACATAAACGTTCTTAATACGTTAACGAGCAAGTATGTTATTGGAGACGCGTTTACCGATACTTAGTTCATTTCTTTAAGATTTCAAATTTAGTCGATTCGTGAAGATTCTATCAAACTTGTTTTATCAAGAAAACTAGAAAGTCTTAAGAAGAATTTTGCATAGCATCCATCAATCCATCAATAATGTCAACATTTTGCGTTGTGAAATTGAGCAGACGACAATTTTGCATCGAACTTCTAGATGAAATATACAAGCTCATCTACCACAAATTGTAAAGATTTTTTTTTTGGATTTTTTAAAAGCTGTAGATATATTTGTTTCTGCGATTGTAAGTGTTGTTTCAAAAATAGACAATAGGTGAAGATTGGCAGGTCGATATGCCTAAACTCAACTCAGATATTTGCATTAATTAATAATGCACATTTACAATCCTCGGATCGAAATTACATCAAAAGTGGCCATTGTTTTTGTGTGAACGCTTTCTTGCACATGCAATTTCGGAGATCCTCTCAGCTCTTCTCTAGATCTTGCAATAGAACTAAAAAATTAGATCCTCACCCTTTGCAATCCTCGCCGTGAAATTACGTCAAAAGTGATATTCACTTTTCACTGAACGCATTCTTATACACACAATTTTGGAAATCCCTCCACGCCTCGTCTCTTGCCATAGAACCAAAAAGGTCGGGCCTCACTACTTGCATCACTCGCTCTATACTTGCGTCAGAAGTTTTTGAGTTTGAAAATGGTGATCGTTTTTAAATGAACACAATCTTGTACACACTGTGTTGGAGAACACTTCAGCCAAAAAGTAGTTCCTTATCATTTCTATTCCTCGCATTAGAACTGCGTCAAAAGTGATGATGGTTTTTGAGTCAACGCACTCTTATACATATTTAGATACTACGGAGTAATGTTCCCCGGTGTCAGAATGACCAGGATACATGGCCTACCACTAAATACCTACCACCACTCCGCTCAATATATTAAAGTTATTTACATAACAACTTTTCAAAATAACGCATTTTATCGTAAGCGCTCGTCCTTCGGCCAAGATATGTCGTGATATCAAATTTGAGCAAAATATCTTCAAAATTGCGATATGAAGGTTGAATATGAAAAGGTATGGGCAGACATCACGCGAACGGACAAAAGTATGGTGACTCTGAATTGATCGGTATATTAAAATGTTAAATGTCTAAGTCAAGTGCTTTTGAGTGTTCTATAATCCGCACAAAATTAAGATGCCTGGTGCATGGTATACAAAGAATACGAAGATGTATTGTAAACTTGGCACTTTGAATAACTATAATTTGCCTTAAAGCCAACGCATGAATTACCGGTATTATGATGAATAACTTACTCTGCCTTCAACAATGCGAGGCGGTGGATTGCTAGGCGTTACTTTCCGATCGACAATTGGTATCGTAGGTGTTGCCGGTATGGCCCGACCACGTTCACGCATTGCTTGATACACAGCATCCGGATGTAAATGGACTGGCCTTTCCTGACGTATAGCTAAACAAATGAAATGAATCAGTTTCAGAAACACTTCAACAACAATTGCTAGACAAAAAGAGAAAAGATTATTAATACAACACATAATAAAAAACTCAGGACCATCAACAACCGAAACGAGCAAAAAAAAAAGAAAAAAAAATGTAAAAAATGAAAGCGAAAACTGTTATAAACGCATATAAAATAATAAAAGCAATGCAAGATTAAAAATTATAAGTAAACAGTATTGTATAGCAAAACGTTTTTATTTTTCAATGCATTTGTTTTTTTTATTCACGTTTTAAATGTTAACGTAATTGTAGCGTAACGTTTGCTATAGTGAAATTTTGTTTTTTTTATTTTTAGTTAATGCAGCGAATGTACTAAACATCTTTTAAAGTTAAAGACCTCAAGTTCATTGATATGTTACGCAAACTGGGTTAGTAACAGAAAAGTAGTTAGGAGACCATGCAAAAGATGGTTAACAAAATTAGTTTGTTTTTTTCCAATTTGAAAAAGCTTTTCAAAACATACTTATTTCGCCTGTGTAAATATTTAAACTTCTGCGATATAGTTGCGGCCCAAAGGGCTCTGCAGCTATCGATGATGTCTTTTTAATGGTTGCATTATAAAATTCTTCTCTATTGAGTACCACTTCACAACAGCCTAAACTCAGTTTGTTACAGATTAAATGTGAGAGTGGGAGAGGAAGAGAGAGAGAGAGAGAGAACGAAAGAATATATATATTTATATATATACATACTTGTATATAAACTTAAAAAAATTTCATTCGGTCATCACCGAATCTTTTATACCCATCGCCGTTATTCTAGAAAGGACCTAAGAAAAAAAGAAAAAGGGAATTTTCCATATTCTCCAATAATGGGTGGGCGCGATTGATTTTTTCCTACTTTTGTAAAATAAAATTAGAAATATATATATAGGGCAAAAAACGCAGAAAGCCGATATGTACTCAATCAGTGGAAATACCCGTCCATAGTACAATAAAAAGGCATGACCTCTTATCGTTTTGACTCATTATCAATATCTATCCTCGTGCAACGACTTTTAAGGTCTTTGCAATTTGTGTTTGGGTTTGCAAATTCAGGTTTGATACTGGTCAATAATGTGTAGACCCCATATGACACTCTGAAACTTCTTTTTGGGTGCTACAAGCGTTTTGATCAAAGAATAGGATTTTGATATACTATAATATTGAATAAGTGTGGGCACTTTTCGCCATTTATATAGACGATCAAAGGACCACCTATAGAACATAAATGAAAATTTGTATCGTTCTATCTAACGAGTAAAAAACCATTTATTTTTATTTTTGAAAGCAGAGAGGATTTCAGGTTATATTGTTCTTTAGGAGTATTTTTTGGCCAAATGGGCTCAATGTCAACCTTTGCGCTAAATTTGATTACTGCATCTTTGCGATCAGGAGAATGTTTACCGCAAATAGATGGACAAACGGAGGGACATGCTTAAATAGGTTGGGAATTTGATCCTGATCAAGAATATATCTACTTTACGGTCTCCGTAGTTTCGTTCTGAGTTTTGCCAGAAGCGTTTCGACAAAATAAATACACCACTCATCCTTACACGTACATTTTATTATAAAGAATACATTTTCATGATAGATGATATTTTACTTACCGCCCGGTCCCCTTTGAGTTTCCTTCAAATCCGTTTTCACCGTTTTACTCCCACCAAACATCATAGGGTACAATACTTTTGGCCATAGTATAGCGATACATCCGACAACCGTTACAATAATTAGAGCGGTTTTTTTCGAACTAAGACCTTCATTCAGGTAGAGCGGATGACTGGCCACAGGCTGTTTAGTCGATGATTGTGCTTTACTTGGCATTTTTTATATTATTTAAAAATGTTGTTTAATTTGTTTTGCCTTGAAGTTTAGTCCGTTATTAATAAATTAATTAATAAGTTAATAATAAAAATTTTTAAGTATCGCGAAGCTACGAAGGAGATATGTAAATTCAATTATAGCCAACCGCTCATATGCTTTGGCCTAGTTGACTTATAATAAAAGACGCGAAGATGCTAACAAACTTTATTTTACCCTTTTATTAATCATTATCGTTAATATTTTACAAAAAAACACAAAGCATAAAATTGATCAGACAACATAATAAATGTTAAAATTTTTACTTAGGCGTGGTTTTTAAGATCCCGAAAGTTCGAACATCTAAGCCTCCGCAAGTTAGTTTGCATGTCATTTGACAACTGACACTAGAAACGTCGCGGATGGATACGGGAGCGCATTATCGCATTCTCTGCATGCAATGATTGAACTCCTGCTCGACAACACTTTTAGTCCTTGCGGAGATTTGTTTTTTATTAAAGTGTGTATGTCCAATTTTTAATTAATTGGTTTCGGCTTCTTAATGCTCGCTTAGATGTTTTCTCCACCCCTATTATCTTAAACAAGCAAGAAAATTATATCAAATTACGACCGATTCGCTTATATGCGCCAACGTCGTCTTAACAAACTAAAAGAAAAAACAACGAAAAACTATCCCTCGTCGCAATCGGAATTTCGTAGAAGGTCACTCTCCAACATAGATCGCAAAATTTCATTATCGCCCAGATCGATAGTCTTCTTTGACAATGAAATCCCCAGAATGAAAAGAACTAAAATCTTTGACAGGTACAGTCATCCGCCTCTTCAGTTCCCAACGTGCTACAAAACTTTTTACAAGCAAGCGACAATTTGTTTCCTTTCTGGAACTCATACCAACCACAATACCTCAAATGAACTTTATTCACCCTGCACTTTGCAGCTGACGAATGAACATAGGCTTCTTATATCCCACGAAGGGTACACTCACATCGGGTATTCCACCTTTTTCCCTTGATCCAACAAGTACAATTAGTTCAGTAAACATTAAAAAACGAGAAAATTTTCGCGCCACTCCACTAAATACTCTCTATAACGTTTCACAGGAGTAAATGATTTTTGTCCGCTTTTGTAGGAAAAAAGGAACGAGGAAATTATTTGTTGTATATCTGTCGCAGTTTACATATTAGACGATCGTGGGAGTCTTTCCGATTTTTGTGTAGGTACTGCAGGGCACATATCAAAATATTTATCGCCATATCTGCTGTACTTTACGAGTGATGGTTAAAAACCCTTCTTTTTTTCTTTTGTTTTAGTTTTGAGAACGGCGCTCTTCTCAGTTTATATTACACCGAGGGCACATCATTTGTCCAATTTGTTCTATTTTTAATACCAATTTATCTAAAAGAACTTTCAATATTTTTGCCAAATTACAAAACAATATAGTATTTTTTTGCGACCAAGAGAATAACTCCCGCAAACATAAGTCTACTTTATTTTATTAGATGTTCTGCGTTCGGCGTCATAATATTGTCGTCTTTCGCTAAAAACTCTCAAAGAATTCAATAGTTTTTCAGTTCAATTGTTTTAACAAATTTCGCTGTTATCCTAGATTCTAAATCTTTCTATATGTTACGGAATTTTTGCTCTTTCATGTTACTTTCTCATGATAACTCTACTACTATCAAGTCCAATTTCTTTAATTTTTCCCCTATTATTCTTGCAAGGACTGATTGTAATGTGAAAACTTCGTATCGTTCTCAATTCATTTCAAACTTTTTAGAAGCATACGTCCTCGAATATGCTTTCTATTATTTTCAATGCCTTAATCTTTTTAATTCCCCTTTTAAACCAAAATTTTGAATTAGCTCTCTATCTGATCTCTCTGCGTAGATTACTGATAACACTAACGGGAAGAAATTAAGTCTTGTTGCTCTCTCGATGAAATAGCCCGCGCGTTTAATACATTTATATATCAGGAACCATGATTTGTATAAGTTAATATAGAAAAGTTATAACAAATGTAGCGCAACCTTTCTGTAAAGAGCCGCCACATACTCTGACAAGTATCGAAACAAGTAGAAAACCAAGCAATCTAAAGCAATTAATTATTTGCAAAAAAAAATAATCTGATTATATCGCGAATCTAAAAGTAGTTCCAAATTTGCAACCATTATGCTAAAGGGAAGTTTCCGAAGCCACGAACGTAACAGTTTTGACTTTCTACATAACTAGTTCAAGGCGAAAAGAACCCCATGAATTTGCCCATGCACGTTCACCACCCAATCAGCGAATGTATTTACAAATTGTTAAAGATACAATCGCAATGAGACTTGCACATTGATAATTTAAAAATATGTATAAATTGGCGATATATCACCTTTGAAAATATATAGATTGACCTAGGTTTCATTATAAAATCGGTGGTAATAAGTTTTATAACTTTTATTGGATACATTGTCGGCACTTACGGCGAAAAAAGATTACTCGCATCTTTATTACCCTATCGAGGACCACAAAAGACAGACAAAGCTTGCCTAACTAATCGAATGACCATGATATTATGCCCGGCCGTACTTATGGTCTACTATTGGCTAGACAGTGTTTGCAACCTTCAAATGAAATTTTACAAGCTTCAAATACTTTAAGAGTTGATCAACTTCCTACATCTTTATAAGAAGATAGGGAATGTTATTGTTTCGAAAAGAATTCGCCAATAGCCTTAATCAGTTATAGAGCCTTAAACAGTTATGCAGTATTAATCAGTTACAGAAACTTTTCATAAATCCAAACATTTTCTATACACTTTGCATGGAATTGAAATTGCGAGAGAAATTTATTTTAGATTCTCAGGCTGTCAAGATTTACCGCATAATAAGGAAAATAAAGGAAAGAAATCAGAATCAGGAAAGAAATAACGAAACATTCATTATCTGCTCTAATAAACCCCAGATGCAAATATTTTGGACTATTCAATCAAGATCGGTTTATAGTTCTCGATATCGAATAAATTCAATCGAGATATGAATATGCTGCGCGCTGGTAATTTTATGATCGAAAAATTTCGTGTTCGCCAGTAATAACATGTAAAAATCCTATACCCTGACTGGACCAATCAGTATATACATACTCTATACCACATCGATTACTTAATAATGCACTAAAAATTATACATTATTTTTATGTAAATTCATATATTTTATGAAACTGCTAATATTGGAGGACACTGAAATGTCAACGTGATCTAAATGTACTTTCCAAACATTTCATTATTTTCCAGTTGCTTCTCCTATAATAAACCAAGAATTAGGATTTATCGCCATAAAAGGGTTTGCTCTGACGGCAGCCCCTACATATGATGTGCTCTAAAAAATTTCGATCGTTCTAGCGAGTCGTTAACCGGCACCGATCCAGTTTACTCAGTACCGGAAACCACAAACCGGTCTTAGTTGAATTGATTTATTAAAAGAACTAATAAGAAAGGTTTTGGAAAGGAATCTATATTTCCTACTTTGATGGATACGTAGATGTTATATTTAAATTTTTAATAATACTTTATATTTTATGGGAGCATAAAAGAAATTACATCGCAAATGCATTAACGTAAAACCGTACGACCGTTCTGGCTAGTGTGCTAATTTATCGAACTATGCATTAAGAAAAAAAAAAAAAAATTTTGTTTGCTTAAAAAATAATAATTCATAAAATTAATTTAATATAAATATTCACAACACCAATATATGCGTATGGATATGCATATATATATATATATATATATATGTATATGTAAATGTGTATATATATATATTTATGTATACAAACATACATATATTTATTTTTCTTTGCAAAGTACACTTGATTTCGTGAAAAATTTTTAAAAGTTTCAAAAACGCACAAAAAATTATTACATAAATAACATGACCCGTACGGTTTGGTGTTATTTTTAGAAATCGCACAATAAAAAAGAATTATTATTAAAAATCAAAAGAAAAAGAACAAGAATTATATATAAATATTTATTTTAATGT